TGTGTGGAGAGAGAGCCCACAAACCAAATGTCTCTTTTTTTCTGCCCTACCAGAGCAGAGTGATAAATTCCACCATCTGAGGATGAAATGATTATTACCATTGGTAAAGCATCACTTGTACAACGACCCCCAGAATAAGCTTTTACAACTTGTGTGATTCTGCTAAGAGCAGATGGACCAAATGTCTCAGGGTGTCATGAACTGCAGAGAGGGATGAACTTAAAGGCTTTCCTGGAGAGTTATTAATTACTAATTATTGATACTAATTCAGTAAGAAGGAATGAGAGATCATCTTCCACTTGGCATGTGCAGTGTTCAGACATTATTCCCATTACAGGCAGAAAACACAGGAGTGTAGCAGAGCATTTCTAAAATCTCAGCTGAAAATCTCTGGGGCCATGAACTTGTCCTCCACGGAGAGTTTCAGACACATGCCAGTCAGCCAAAAGCAAAATAATGGTTCTTGTGAAGTATTTACACAGAAATTAGCACTATCCAGTGAGTTCTTCCAGCCCTACCAGCAGTTAATTACACAGATTGGAGTCACCTCCCATCAATTGGACAGATAATCTATTTGTACCACACAGATTGTGACAACACTGAAAAATTTTAGTGTTAGGACAAAATGGTTTATTGCCTTTAGTCAGTATTTAGGTTGGTTGCTTTATTTCCATTTCTTAAATGAAAAAATTATGTGAGATTTTTGTAGACAAGGCAGAGTGCTCTATCTGGGAGAGTAATGCATGATGAATAATGTATTGATTTTCTAAAAAGTAAGATAAAACCTGTTGGTACTCCAAATTAAATTGGAAAAATTTCTTGCATGTTTGCATGTTGCACAAAGCCAGTAACCAGTAATTCCTGAAGGAATTGAAATAGTTTTAAAAACCAGGCAAAACAACATAAATACTGTTAAATTTATACAAAAAGCAGAAAAAGAACTCATTAACTAGTGCAGGAGCAAATTAACCAAATATGTCACATTAAAGAAGTAGCACCAAAGAAGCATTTTCAGCACCTCAAAGCTGTGCAGAAACCAAATCTGTGAACCAGAAAAAAAACCCTGCATGTTTTCAAATTGACTGTAGCTGACTGCTAATATAATGCAAGTTGAGGGTTACAAAGCATTCAAAAAGAAACTAAATGCTTTGGAAAACAAGTGCTTACAAAAGCTTGCATACCGTGAGTGTAAATAGGTTTTTTATTAACACAGGGACCTTGAGAAATCAGCAGTCAGTGGTTTGTCCTCAGCAGAGCCAGCAGTGCACAGGACATATTTCGGCCAGATCCTCTGAATTCCATTACAGGATGCCTCCTGCAGGAGTTATTGGATGGAAAAGGAGACACCAGCAAGAGAGAGGTGGGAGAACCTGGCCCCAGAGCACAAACCCAGCGTGGGATGCAGCCATGGATCATGCAGCTCACAGCTGCGAGGAGCACAGGAACACTGCATTGCAGGAGTCACTGGAGACATCCCAGTGTCCTGCAAAATGTCACAAGAGCAGGACCTGCTTCTCTCCTGTCTCCTGCAAAACATTTTGTGGCTCAGCGTGGCTTTTCAGCCTCCCTGGCACCTGAGTTCAGGCACGTCCCTGTCACACACACCTGAGTCAAGGGGTTAAAATGCTTTTTCCAGCTCATTTTCCCTGAGTCTACCGGCTCCATCAGCACTAACCCACACGTGCTGGCTGATTTCTTCAGCTCTGCAAATAAACAGAAGAATTCTTGATGAGCCTTCCCCTTCCCAGGCACTCAGCCCAGGCCACCCCCTGCAGACCCCTGAGCCATTTCAGCCACTCTTGGTACCCTGCCTCTTGGATTTCTGCTTCTGCCCCGCTGTCCTTGCTCAGCTGCCTTGGCTTGCCCCATCCCTGCTCCCCTGACACTGGAGCTGCAGCCCTGCTTCCCACCTGAGCCTGCTTTGCTCCCAGCTGCAATTCCTGGCTTTTATCCCATGGATGGGGCTGGGGCATCACCAATACCCTGATACTGCTCTCAGTGCTGCAGGTCCCATCCCAGCCTCAGAACTGCACTTCCCACCTCTCCTTGAAAACCATCTCCCTCTCCAGAGGCTGAGACGAGACAGAAAAAGAAGCAAGAGCAACAGAATTAGCCCAGAGCAATTCTGTCTGCAAGTCTGGGGGTGAAAATTTCAGTTTTTCTGGTTTTCAGTTAAGATCTGAGACAACTCTGCATCTTCAGAATGCTCCAGCCCTCTTTATTTAAAATAAAATTTATTTTATTAAATCCCCAGTTATTCCCTAACACTCTGGAGCTAAAGTCCCCCGCAGTTCATTCACCACTGCTTGGGTTAATTGTGGTGCCCATGAAATGGCTCGGTGTGTGTAATTTTTCCTCAGAAAGGTGTTACTTATATTTTAAAAAAATTGTTTGCACCAAACCACCAAAAAAAAAAAAAAAACCAACCAACAGAAAAAAAACCCAACCAAACCCACCTCTACCACTGCTCCCTTTCACAGCTTGTTTCTTTTTTTTCACCATTGTGGTCATGTCTGTACAGCAGTGTTTCCACAGAAAGCTGATCTCAAATATCACTTTATTCAATTGTCAACCTCCCTATGCTGCCTCTCAGGGCTTTTGCCCCTTTTTGACTAAACCTGCACCTTGTTCCAAAACTGAAAATGTGATGAAAGGGAATTCAAAATGAACACCTCAGTTCCTAGATTGGTACCTGATTTGTTGGTTCCTCCTCAGCTCTTCACCCACCCATGAGCTGGGCTTTTCCAGGGACAAAGCCAGAATTGGTCCCAGCACCAAGTCTAGCAGAATTAAAGAAAAGTGTGGGCAATGAGAGTGGAATTCACAGGGTCTGAAGGGTTCTTTTCTTCAGTGTTTGGTTTTAAAAAGAAAAACCTCACTTGCAGATTTTGTGATTAAAGTGGAAAACTGTTATTATGCTGCCTAGTGGGATGCTGCTAGAGGTAGCTTATACAGAACTTTCAAAAAGCCTTGAATTACTATTACAAAAAACCAACAAAACACAACAAACCACTAAAAGAAACACTCATTTATTTGCAAGATATATGAAAAAGGTTTTAATATATGTATGAAAATATCGAGGAACTGCACAAAACCCCAACACAGACAATTAATCCAGGTCTGGCCATGTGAAGACAACACCTATTTGCTCACAAGGTGAACCTGCACCATCCACCCCTCACAGTGAGGGGATTTCTCCCTCAGCTCCGGTGCACAGCATTTCATGAGCAATATCTGGAGGGAAAGAAGCTCTCCTGAGGGGCAGGATTGTCTTGGCATGCTGGGATCTTGTCAGAGCTCAGCTCTGGAGAGGAATTACCCTTTGTGCCTGGCTCTGCTCCAGCTATGCACTCATCAAAGACAAACTGACCCTGATCCCTTAAAAAAAATAAACTATTACACCCATAGAGAGAAACTCCAGTCCCAGCCTGTCCTCAGCAGCCAGAGCTTACCCCCATCAGCCCTGCCCTGTACCTAGGCAATTCAGCATTCCTCTGTGGAAGATTGGTGACTTTCCACAGTGGCCCCAACCCTGCAGGACCAAAACACCCCTGGAGGAGGCTGAGCCCTTCCTTGGCCCAGCTCCCCACAGCCAGCTCTTCCAGAAGCTGTCACCAAACCAAATTTAGCCTCTTCTTGCCTGAGGCGAGTTGTGATAAATCTCTTTGATAAGAAGGGGTTTTAGATCATGCCCAGGTTGGAATGCAGGCATTGGCTTTACTTCACCCCAGGTTATTTCACCTTGTGTTGTACAGTGTGGAGTCACTGGGTTGGAGAAACTCATCCAGCACATCACAAACATTTCTGCTGTCCCAGAGTCTTAGGTTGGAAATGGGGGTATCCTATTCCTCTGTCAGTGCTGGGGCAAGTATCCTCTGTTCATTGGGCAGTTTGCTTTATCTCTCCCACACCCAACCCTCCCTCCAGGAGATCTCTGCTGTTCATGGCCACTGAGTGTCCCTGCATGGCTGAGAAAATTCCATCATCCATGGGGAGATGCTCTGCCCAGGGGAGGAGCCAAGCATTCCTACCTGGATCCAATCTGACCTGGGAACAGCACAGCAGCCTTTGCCCCCTGCATTCCCAG